CAAGAAGCTACTGGCAAGCTTTCTCACATATCCACATTTGCCAAATCTTAGACTTGAACCAACACAGACAGAGATGAGATGGCAGTGATTCGTAATGGAGAGCGCTTTAGACCACTCAGCCACTCGGGGCTACATCAATGCTGTCAGTATGAAATGTACATGTATTAGTAGGCCATATAAGGATACATCTCTGTCATCAGTGTGAAATGTGCATACATCATTGCTTTTAGTATAAAATGTACGTGTTTGTATGCCATAATTTGATAAGGACACATCAATGCTGTCAGTATGAAATGTACATGTATTAGTAGGCCATATAAGGATACATCTCTGTCATCAGTATGAAATGTGCATACATCATTGCTTTTAGTATAAAATGTACATGTGTTTGTATGCCATAACTTGATAAGGATACATCATGGCTGTCAGTATGAAATGTACATGTATTAGTAGACCATATAAGGATACATCTCTGTCATCAGTATGAAATGTACATACATCATTGCTATTAGTATGAAATGTTTGTGTTTGTATGCCATAACTTGATAAGGATACATCAAGGCTCTCAGTATGAAATGTACATGTATTTGTATGCCATAAGGATTATCAAGGCTGTCAGTATGAAATGTACATGTATTTGTATGACATAAGGATTATCAAGGCTGTCAGTATGAAATGTACATGTATTTATATGCCATAAGGATTATCAAGGCTGTCAGTATGAAATGTACATATATTTGTATGCCATAAGGATTATCAAACCTGGCAGTATGAAATGTACATGTATTTGTATTCTACATAAGGGTATGAATATTATATGTATTTGATGAAATAAAGAGTACATCAACACTGTCAGTATGAAATGTGCAATGTATCTGTAGGTCATAGGATACATCAAGGCCATAAGTACGAAATGTATATGCATTTGTTTGTTATAAGAATACATCAAGGCTGTCAGTATGAAGTGTACATGTATTTTTCATAAGGATACATCAAGGCAGTCAGTATGAAATGTACATCTTTTTGTATGCTTTTCACTGATGTCCTAGTGTCAGTTGCTTCAATACAATGACTCAAACATTAGTACATGTACTTTTTTAAAAACACCATTCACACTTAATAGTGGACAGTACTTGAACAGAGTAAAAAGGGGGGTATGTAATAAATTATATGCATTTCTGATTTGTTTTGAGTTGGGTAGAATACTCATCTGATATGGCCTACAAATATATGTACATTTCATACTGACAGCCTTGATTGATCCTTATATAGCATAAAACTACATTGATTTTCATATTGACAGCTTTGATGTATCCTTATATAACATACCAATACATTAATTTTCATACTGACAGCCTTGATGTATCCATATATAGCAAACAAATACATTATTTTTATATTGACAGCCTTGATGTATCCTTATATAGCATACTGATACATTAATTTTCATATTGACAGCCTTGATGTATCCTCTACATAGTTCAAGTCTGGGTGTGTGACAAAGAAATATCGATCATCCTTACTGAAAAACACTTCATCCTTTTAAGATTAAATTGGTATGTAATGATTAAAAAGCATGACATGGGCATATAAACTCCAAAAACATGTTAGTCATGTTATAATTAGATTTACTTGTGAACACTGGTTATAATGTTTTCTTGATGAAGATTTTTGAAACATTCCAAATGTATTCTTCATGTTCTCATTTATGTTATGTTATATAGGCAAGACTTGTCAAGATCATTATACAGAAAGATAAGAAGGTATCAATTACAACACATTCCTCATTATCAAGACTTTATTCAAGGTGTGGACAAAAAATAACAATTTGAGAAAATCTCAGTCAAAAGTGTCTAATACATTTTATTCAATAAACAACAAGACAAGAATAGCTTAGGCCAATATAAAAAGCATCAAAAGAATGACCATAGACTGATGACCTGACCAAAGAGCACTGACTACAGTGTATCAAATTTAAGGTTAAAGGTAAAATTCCTATCAATATTGATTACCACCTGTGTTCTCTCATAAACCACTCTATTTCAAGGTTTTTCACTGCCCAGCAGTTGGGATCATATATCAATATATTATGATCAGTGGAGTGAGGACAGGGTGGGTGGGTGAGGGAAGACAGCATCTGGAGAAACCATCATTTTGTGGTTTAAAAAAAATTAATACTGTACAACAAATGAGACATGTGACCACTTTAAGTCCATGCAAACCACTACTTTTGTGTCAATCCATATGTATTTTTTAATAGGATTGTGTGGAGTGTTTTGAAGATTTTGCACACTATGTATTGTAATATTCCAATACAGTTAATCATTGACATAGTTGTCCTCAGCAGGTTTGCCCAATATACCTATAACCTGGTGTCCTTTATACAAAGAGTTCACTAACAAGACAATCCAAGGGATGTTGGATGAAAGAAATGTAAGAATTGGCTAGGGATAGCTGCAGCTAAATTTAGAATTTTAAGTAAAGAGAATAGACTATATATACATAAATATGTTATTTGCTCACCTTGATAAAGTCATGTGGGCATATGATGTGGTCCTCACCTGGACAAAGACCATTTGGGCATATGATATAGTCCTCATCTTGACAAAGTCTATGTGGGCATATGATACTGTCCTCACCTGGACAAAGGCCATGTATGCATATGCTATGATCATCACCTAGACAAAGCAATGTGGGCAAATGATATAGTCCTCACCCAGACAAAGACCATGTGGGCAAATGATATAGTCCTCACCTAGACAAAGCAATGTGGGCAAATGATATAGTCCTCACCTAGACAAAGCAATGTGGGCAAATGATATAGTCCTCACCCAGACAAAGACCATGTGGGCAAATGATATAGTCCTCACCCAGACAAAGACCATGTGGGCAAATGATGGTCCTCACCTGGACAAAGGCCATGTGGGTATAATTGATATGGTCCTAGCCTGGTCAAAGACCATGTGGGCATATTACATGGTCCTCACATAGACATATATCAGAACTTTTGAACATTTTAAACATTGAAACTTGAACTTTTAATTGGTATTATATAACCAGTAAACCACCTACATACCTTCCAATCCACCCATATATATATCTACTGTGCCATGGTACAAAAGACATAAACAAGAATTTAAAGAAACATTCTTTTCCAATGTATCAAAGTAGTCATAAGTTTATTAAAAAAAAACCAGATTAATGTTGTTTTTGTATAAAGTTTAACAAATCATCGATCATAAAATCAGCTTGAAAAGCTGTTATCATTGTCTGCCACTGGAAGTCAGATTTTACTGGGTGAAAGTTATAGCCCTAAAAAGCCTAACCATGGATTGACACTAACATTTCACAGTTCAGGCAATTACCTTTAAAAACCACTACAGGTGGCTCCCATGAACAGCATGCTACATGCATTCCACTCAACCAATTCCTACACTATTCCTTGTACAACATACAGTGTGTGTGTGTGTTTTTTTTCTGGATTTTTAATGTAACTTAAACAAGTTTAGTTATGTTGCAGTTTATAGTGATGTCTAACACTGGGGCATCATGCCACAGACATGTAGCATGATGTTTAACCCAACCACATTATCCTGACACCATGCCGACCAATCCTAACACTAACTTCTTAATGCTGAGTGCCAAGTGAGTAGCTGTTAGTACCATTTTAATGAGTTTGAAATGACTTGTCTAGGGATTGAACCCATAACACCCTAGATGCAAGGTGGACTCTCTAACCTCCAGCATCTGCGGCCGACTCTCTAACAACTTAGGCCATGGAAACAGTTTTATAATACATAGTTAACATGATGATACAGGACTTATTCCAAATGTAATGGTCAGAAAGGACAATATAATCAGGTTGTTAAAAATTTAAATCATTCAATTAAATAACAAAGTTTTGTGCATTTTTTATATCCTTGACATTTTTCATTTTCAAAAATGGAAGGGGGTTACCAGCAAATGGGAGGGCATTAAAAATATTACAGAATGCAACACCTCCCCCTCCCCCCCCCAAAAAAAATAGTTGGTCACAATCCAACTGGAAAAACTTATCTAGAAAAACTGTGAAATAAATGTCAAGGTGAATTTTTATCATGAAGAGATCTGGTTAAAAAAAAACACAACATAAAACATAAACATAATCAGTGAAGAATGAAATATGGGCAACACTCATTATTTTGATGCATGTGTGTGTAGTACTTGTCAAGGTGAATATCTCACTAAGTTTCCTGAATCTACCCTTACAGTAAATATGCACATGGCCAGATTACCCAGTAAGCACACATGCTTAATGTATGGAAAGTAGTAATACAGCACTGAATATACAGAAGTCACCCACCCCCACAAGAAAAAAAAAACATTTGGTCATGAGCTACACATAAAAACTTAACATAAGCCTGTAAAATACGAAAGCTGAAAGGAAAAATATAACCAAGGATGTACACCTAGAAAAAAAAAAAACACAATTAAACTTGGATAACCTGTCGTAATGTCAACTGTAAACCAGATGAATTGGATCCTGTACAGCAGTCATTGAAGGACACATGACATAGTTGACGGGGAGAGTGAGACTGTTTAAAACAACACACTCACCCGCTCTTCTTCTGGAGTCAACTTGGGTGTCCTAATTGGTGCATGTATCACATACTTGTCTCGGAGTCGGGGTGGAGGCAAAGGTTTCAGAGGAATGCCCTTGCATATCTCCTTAAGCGATGCCATGTATATATTTACCCGGACAATACACCGATATTCACCACAGTAGTAATTATACACCAGTAAACCTGACTCCAAGTAGTAAAGTTCTATATATGAGAGCTCTCAACTCGAATAAAATTTTGTTTCACCATTGGTGAAGTTAAGGATAGTACTGATCAACACTCTCGAAACCAATATTGTAACTTAATTTCTGACCACTAATACTGGTGCAAATTAATACTGAACCCAAATTCATTGACCGAAGTATACATTGTTTCTGTCTTTCATTTTCATATGCGACCGTTCCGGTGGTCTAGTGGTTAGAGCGTCCGCCTCGGATGTGAAAGATGGCGGGTTCGAAGCCTACCCGAATCATACCCAGTGGCACTAACAGCTGTCTCGGTTGTTGTTCAGGATTAGGAGGTGAGTGTTAGGATTTGTTATCCTGGTGTTAGGATGATGTAATTGGGTAGAACATTGTGCTATAAACATCGTCATAAACTGCCACACTGCAGACCTCGTAGCGATATGACGAGAAAATTTTCACATTAAAAATCCAAATCGCTCGCAAGCATTCATGCACACAAGATTTAATTCGATAATATTTTATAAATACTGCCAAAAAGTTGTTGCTTTAAATTCATCAGTTTTCATATAGGTCAGCAGAGTTGTGTGAATTTCAGATAACGAGGAAAGTTTACAAGTGTGAACGGAACACAAGCGCGATTCCAAACAGCATACGCTATTACTATAATGGTGATTCTTGTTTGTTTTGGTCTTTTTTAAAATTTGTTTCAAACATACGAAAAGAAGCACAACGATGCTCTGTTGAAATAAATGTATATAAAAACAGGTACATTGTTGGGAACGAATAAATTGCATATTGTGCGCGAGTAATTTAATTACAAACATTTGTCTTCGGCCAAATTCACACAACAACTTGCAGACTCCATAAAGACTTAGAAACAATCAGCCGAGAACAAACATTCCAAACGACAAATGGTGAAATAAATGTTTTTGAAATATGCATAGGACTGGCAAAATTATATATATATATATATATATATATATATATATATATATATATATATATATATATATATATATATATATGTGTGTGTGTGTGTGTGTGTGTGTGTGTGTGTGTGTGTGTGTGTGTGTGTGTGTGTGTGTGTGTGTGTGTGTGTGTGTGAAATTATTCGTACTTTTGAAAGGGTTGAAGAAACATTTCAAATTGCTGGCGATAAAAGTACCTGCTTTACATTGTTGTTATGTTAGTTACCCGATAACACACCCAAGTATACTATTTTTCTGGCGGTTTTTATACTGTTTAAAATTGTTGACAAAGAAAGTAGTTGCGAAATTTATTTGCCATCCTGAAAATAAACTTGCTTGAACAAATATTGCTCAGACATGTAAGAATGGTTCACTAACAATTTACCTTTCATGTAAACAATAACACGATTTCTTTTTAAACAAATAGTTTATATCTATCAAAAGGACAACAAGTGGCAATCAGCCATCGTTAAATACAAGCATATGAAAAATATAGTCATGGGAAAACTTAATTTATGATTTATTGAAAACAAAATAGAATAACCCCCATTTTTACATCAACAGCACAACCAGGAACTAAACATATGTCGCAACTAGAACATGCAAAGATATAACCAATCAAAATTCTCTACGAAAGATTTGGGTAAAACAAAAAAATGACCGACAAACAAATCAAAATAACACATTTGAAAAAATTCAATATTAGTGCTGCTAACATTTGAAAATCTTTGTCATATGCTGCAAATTATACTATAATTTTAGTGGTTAGCAGATTTCTTTTTTCCATCGACATGTTCAGTGTACAAAATGAATTATATGATGACTATAATATTCGTTTGTGGAATTTGTAATCCGTGTTGGGATTGCCGTTGTCAGCGTCGATTCCTAGTTTAATGCACTAGGATATGTTACTTTCAAAAAGATTAGAGAAACTAACACAGCTCAAACTATTGAAATTAAATTAAAATCACGATTCAATATTCAAAAAGGACGTAAACTGACAAACAACTAACCTTTAAAACATGCTAAATCACTTTAGGTTATCCTTCCAAATGTTTCTTCCAACTTAAACCGAAGCTAACGAGATTAATAAGCAAAATGTTGAGTGGAACTGCTAACAAGCTAAATGATTCGCTTAGAGTTGAACATGGCAGAAAACTTGAAAAAGATTCGCATGAATAGTGACAAGCTAAAGGAGAGCACTTTGAGTAAGAGCATGTGATGTGATGTCATTATGATTTTTAACGTAGCTTTAACAACTTTTCAGTCATATCGCTACAATGTCTGCAGAGTGCCAGTTTATAGTAATGTCTAGCAATGGGACATCATTCCGCAGACATGTGACATGATATCCCACCCAGTCATATTATCCTGACACCATGTTGACCAGTCCTAACACTAACCTCTTAATGCTGCAGCTGTTAGTACCATTTTTGTAAGGCTTTGGTATGACTCGACCGGGTATAGAACCCTAGACCTCCCGCATCCTAGGCGGACGCTCTAACCACTAGACCACCGGAGCGGTTAGAGGAAGAGCAACAAAATCACTAGATAACACCACGTGAAACAAAATCATATAGCTTAAACAGAACTAATTATCATTTGATATGTGGTGATATGAGAGTTGTAGGTATCATGTTCATTGGACAAAAGGGCAATGTTTTTCTTTTGTTAGACCTGATTATATAACATGGCTTGTACAAAGCAAGCTGTTTAATTCTACAAAAATCAACACAGTTTGATATGAATTTGTAAAAACAATATCTGAAGAAATATTTTTCTACAGCTTATCACATAAGCATTTTACGGCTATAACATCAGCGACAATATTGAAATAAGATCCATTTTAATTAGCGCGCGCGCGCGTGTGTGTGTGTGTGTGTTGGATATTGTACGTGGCTTTAACAATTTTAGTCATATCGTTACCATGTCTGCAGTTTGGCATTTATAGCGATGTCTTGCACTGGGGCATCATGCCTCGGACAAATATAATCATGCCCCACCCATTATCCTGACATTAAGCCCACCAGTCTTAACACTAACAATGAGAGCCAATTGAGGCAGTACCATGCTTTATAAGTCTTTAGTATGACTCGGTCGGAGTTCGAACCCGGTACCTCCCACATCCAAGATGAAATCTCTAATCACTTAGGCCATCAGAGCGATCCAATTCTGGTGGTTTGTACAACCTAGATATGTGCAGATATAAATTCAAAGACAGAATGACTGCAGATGACAACGAAGACTATATGGATGTAAAAAGTTCTCAACATGGGTCTAAAGTTAAAATCTCTCTGATTAACAACTACACGGTTTTCATCACCAACGGCAGCGATCCAATTCTGGTGGTTTGTACAACCTAGATATGTGCAGATATAAATTCAAAGACAGAATGACTGCAGATGATGACAACGAAGATAATATGGATGTAAAAAGTTCTCAACATGGGTCTAAAGTTAAAATCTCTCTGATTAACAACTACACGGTTTTCATCACCAACGGCAGCTCAGAACTGTTACAACTCAATAATCATAGAAATGTAATCCACTGAATCTGCCACTTTAGGTTTTGGTATTCTATTACGTAGATAATCAAAGTTTGAAGATACTGGAAGAAGCTGACGGTAAATGTTCAGCTACTGAACAGCGTGGCACTGAAAGAGTTAACAAAGCAAACAAAAAATGAATCGATAAGAACAAAAAAAGATTTTAGACGCACGGGAATTGTATCAACATGGATCTGAGCGACAGAGCAAAGGATATTTGCTGAGATAAATGTTTTAAGACACGACATGATTAAAACGTGTTGTAAATTTCACTGGAAATGTATTGTACTCTTCTACCTCAACTAATATAAGTACAGTTACAAAAATTTTAATGAAATTCAACAAAACGATAAATCATTTAAAAGATAATACATTACTTTAGCACAATAATTACAAGCTTGAAGGCCAGGTTAATTGCTATCCTTATTATCTTCAGGTTAATTGCTATCCCTATTACCACCAGGTTAATTGCTATCCTTATTACCTTCAGGTTAATTGCTATCCTTATTACCTCCAGATTAATTGCTATCCTTATTAACTATAGGTTAATGCTATCTTTAGTACCTTCAGGCTAATTGCTATCCTTATTACCTCCAGGTTAATTGCTATCCTTATTACCTCCAGGTTAATTGCTATCCTTATTACCTTCAGGTTAATTGCTATACTTATTACCTCCAGGTTAATTGCTTTCCTTATTACCTTCAGGTTTATTGCTATCCTTATTACATCCAGGTTAATTGCTTTCCTTATTACCTTCAGGCTAATTGCTATCCTTATTACCTCCAGGTTCATTGCTACCCTTATTACCTCCAGATTAATTGCTATTCTTATTACCTCCAGGTTATTTGCTATCCTTATTACCTTCAGGTTAATTGCTATTCTTATTATCTTCAGGTTAATTACTATCTTTATTACCTCCAGGTAATTTGCTATCCTGATTAACTCCAGATTAATTGCTATCCTTATTATCGTGTCAGAGCTGCAGAAGAATAATAACTTCAGATATAGCCAAAACAACTTAAAACGCAAAACAGAGTTAATAAGGCTACCGACAGAAATGATGGAAATAAAAAAATAAAAAGAAGAGAGACAAATGCAAATGGAAAGAGAACAAAAAGATAGGAAAATGCAGTTTAGATCAAAAGAATTAGAACTGGCAAGCGGAAGGCATCCCAATTACATACAATTTCATTTTTTGTTACTACGTTAGGAATCCGTTTTAAAGAAAAATAAGCTGATAAATATTTTCATTATTTTGAGAACATTGCTGAAGATTTTAAATGACCAATAGGGCAGTGGACTTCATTATTATAAAGAGTATTTAATGGCAAAGTTCATGAAGTCTATACTTCATCGTCGATACAACAAAGTGCTAACTACGATGTAGTTTAGGAAGGTAGCTTAAAGGGTTATGGGTTACTATCTGGACCATCGACAGAGATTTAGGAACCGTAGAAATAAAAATTGGGAATTGCAAGGGGAAAAGAACAACTGCTTCATAGATGGTGCTCAGACAAGAAGGTTTGTCAAGATTACAATAACCTCAGATAACTCATAGGAGGTCAAGAACTACGTCCAGAATGACGTTAATACCTACCTTGATCGGCAAAAGGTCGACAATTTAGAAAATGCTGCTCGTACAACTGACGATTATTTTTTGACTCACAAAGTTTCTTTTGACTGTAAGTCTTTACTCAGCAGTATTTTTATGCTCTTGTTTCTAAGGGTAAGATTTCATCGTGTATTGAATGAATACTCTTGTTAGGTCAAACAA